GCAAAAATTTTACTCTGATCTTATAAATTCTAGAAATAAACAGGCGGGGTGTTACAACCTCCCAGGCTGCCCTCAGAAAGGAATAAGTTGGAATAGAAGTCAGCAATATGAGTCTCTATATCTTTTTGAGAGGTCAGGATTCAGTCTGGTGATTGCATTTTGTTTTCTCCTTTGAAGAGTGAAAGCATGAAAAAATCTGGTATTGGCATCCCCTTCTTTAAGCCATTTCTGTCTGGATTTCTGTTGCCAGTACAGCTCTTCCTGAAGATGTGCTTTGTTCAAAGAATTTTTTGTGCTCATCCAGCTGTTCCAGTTGCTTCCAGATTTGTCTTCATTCAGAGTTTCCATTTGAAGAGTAAGATCTGCTATCAGGGCTTGATTTTTATATTGGAATGAGGAACTCCATTTTAGAAGGGCAATTCTAGTGAGTTTGATTTTTTCTTTGAGCCTGAAGAAAGGAGTTCCTGTGACAGGAGTGTTCCAAGCTAGCTGGACAGTCTCATCAAATCCATCCTTACCAATCCATCTTTTATCAAAATTGAATCTGGCTTGTTTCTTATCTGAGGGCAGACCTAAGTTCAGGACAAGTGCAGAGTGATCTGAGGAACTTCTCATCACATTAATCACTGAGGCATTAGAATAAGTCTGGTACCAATCCAGAGTGCCAAATCCTCTATCCAGCTGTTCTTCTATCATTTCATCAGAGGCTCTCTGATTACACCATGTAAATGAATAACCACTCAGTCTAATTTCCTCCATATCCATGCTGTCAATAAAGGAATTAAAAGGCTGAAGACTGGCTTGACTTCTTGGATTTTCACCTTGCTTTTCTGAAGTCTTGCATATATCATTCCAGTCCCCCAATGCAAACCAACAATCTCTCCAGGCTTGTCTTTCAAGAATTAATTCATCCCACTGAGTTTCTCTGATAGTCCTACAAGGACTTAGATATACAAAAACACCCCACAGGGGGCTACAAGAAGGTAAAGAAAAATGGACAGCAATAAAGAAGTCTTTACAAATGATGTGCTGAATAGAAACATCAGAATCCCAAAATAATGATAAACCACCCTATAAGCCAGTGGGGTTCACAATACAAATTCTATCTGCATAACCTAGCTTAGTACCAATAGATTTAACAAAGGAATTTGGTTTTTTTGTTTCAGAGAGAAAGAGAAAATGCGGGTGATGAGTTTTTTTTTCACTCTCGCAATTGGGAAATTGTAGAGGGCCCACCCAGCCCTCTACAATTCCACACCACAGCTAACATTTATCCTGTGGGTGCCATTCAAGGCTGGCAGCCCCCACCTTTTCTTTGTGCTCTTGCTGTTTCTGCTTCTTTGGTGCTGTTTGACTTAGGATGATCTGTTGATGAGAGTTTGATTGATCTTCTTCTGAAGTCCTAAGCCATTTTTTTAGAGGATCTTGTTCAGTGACAATGGAAATAGCAGACTCTCTCAACAGTCTGCCTGCTTTGCTCCTATCCCTTCTCCAAGTCTTCAGAGGATGAGAAGAGTTGGTAACTACTGTTTCACTAATTGAGAGAACTGCTTCTGGAGTATAGGGAAGAGGGTGCAACTCCATTATTTTGCTTGATTCCACTATTTGCAAATTGGATTCAACTGATGTGCCTTTGGCCTCAGGATGAAAGGCTGAAGCTACTGAGTCCTGATCTTTCTCTATGTTCCTGGTTGGTGTTATATTTGGGACAGGGATTATCTGTTGACTGGTTTCAGCTTGCTGAGATGATATGTTTGGAGGAGATCTGTTCTCATTCCTTATGGGGGAATCGGTGAATGGAGAACCTCTGGAACTTGAATTTGCATTGTCAAACCATTTCTGGTTCTCTGCTGCTTTCAGAAAATCTCCATATTGACCTTCTTTCAGAGAGTTGCTATTGATGTCTGAAATCCTCTTTGAACAGCTTCTATCCAAATGCCCAATCATACCACAATAGTGACACAGATTTTGAAGTTTTTCATATTTAAATCCAACCTGAGCTGTTTGATCTCCCAATCTGATGTTTGCAACTCTAGGCAATGGCTCATTCAGGTTAACTGTGACCAGCAATCTAAGATATTTTCCACCGTGATTCCCAGCATTAGCTAAAACAACGTTCTTAACATTTTTGAAAACTTTTCCTATTTTTAGTCCCACCTCAGTGCTCAGCCAGATGATGGGTGTGTTTGTAACTTGAACCCAGATGTTAAGATCTTGGAAACAGGAATGCTTACTTGATGTACCATGTTGCCATTCTTTAAGAACGAGATACTGGTTTTCGAAGCTCCAGTTGATGCCATTTGCAACTTTCTGCTTATCTTCTCTACTTTGGAATATGAACTGGAAGTAATTCGGACTCAATTCCTTGATTTCCATTGATTGATTGAGTCGCCAAATGGTAGT